ACTGGGGGCAAAACAATGGGACATAATAAACACTCACAATGTACTGAAGTATTTGAAAGCATTATAGTAAAGAATAAGCACATTAAGTTTTCTGAACGACCCAAATTATATGTAAATGCAATTAATGATTTTTTTGTAAATATTGGAAAGGAACTTGTAAGTAAAAATTGTTGTAACTGTTTTAATACAGACCAATTAGATGAAACAAGGTATAAAACTAATATATCTGCTAATTCAATGTATCTTATACCAACTGATGAATATGAAATAAAAAACTATAAACTCTTTATAAGATAGAAAATCTGCAGGAAAAGACAAAGTTATAGCAGAGATTATCAATAATATTACTGAAACTTATACCGGTAATAACGTATTTAGTTAATATGTCAATGGAAAAAGGAGTTTTCTCAGATATTTTAAAAACTGCTGTCATTATACCAAAATTAAAAGGGGAAAATAAAGATGATTTAAATACTTACATACCGATTGCTTTATTGTCAGTTATATCAAAGATTCTTAAGAAGATTGTTAAAAAAATAATAATAAAATTTTTAGATTCAATGCATTTTTTCTCAAATTCTCAATTTGTATATCGTGAAATATAAATACAGAAAATCCACTTATTACAGTGGTTAATAAATTAAATCAGTCAATTAATGATGATAAAATAACATGTGCTCTTTTTTCTAATATATCAAAAGCTTTTGACACGATTTCGCAAGAACTTTTACTAAAAACTTTATAAAATTGGAATAAGAGGGATAGTTTTAAATTGGTTTAAATCGTGTATATCTAATAGAAAACAAGTAGTTAAAATAAGTTATATTATAAGTGATGAAATGGATTTATTTGCTGGAGTACCTTGGAGATCAGTATTAGAACCATTAATATTTTAATATATTTAAATAATTTCTGTGAAAGTAGGTTTAATGGAGAAATAACAAGTTTTGCAGATAACTCGGTATTACTTTATAATGGAAATTCTGATAATGAGCTCATAAAATTAACAATGATTTAAAATACATAAAAATGTGGTTTAATGAAAATCTATTATGCTTAAATGTATATAAAACGGTTTACATGAGATTTTCTCAAACTAGTCTACTCAAATAATTCTAAAAGAACCACTAATCTATGAGAATTGTCCTTGCAAACATTTATCTATTAAAAACGATATGAATAATAATTCAATTATACAAAAGTCAGAAAGTGTGAAGTATCTTGGAATAATATTAGATCGTAGAATAAATTGGAAAGAACATTTAAAAATAATGGAGAAAAAATCATAGATATCAGCAGTAAGATTTCATTACACAAAAAAAATATTTATCTAAGAATGAAATGAAAAATATTTATCTAAGAATGAAATGAAAAATATTTATCTAAGTATGAAATAAAAAAAATATTTAACTAAGAATGAAATGAAAAATATTTATTATGCTTGGTTTGATTCAATTATGCAATATGGTATCACCTGTTGTGGAGATACCCATCTAACAAACTTAAGAGTTATAATACAGTTACATAGGATATTATAAAATGCATATTATCATTATCACAATATGACCTTACTAAATTACATTTTAAAATTTATATATACTACCATTGCGCAAATTATACATTTATAAAATACTAAATAGATTTAGTAAAGATTTTCAAAACTGGGAAAAAATTAAATTAATGTACGAAAAAGAGCTGAAGTACATGGGAACTTAAAACTTCCTAAAGTAAACGAGGAAATGTTTAGAAATAGTTATTTGTATCAAGCACCAAAGTTATATAGTAATATTTCAAATGAAAAATAAAAACATTAAGCTAGCATTAAAGAAATGGATAGCTAATATAGAAGAACCAGAAAGACTTATTTAAAGTTTTTACACTATATAAAAATAAAAATAGGT